TTGTTTATCCCAAAGATGACATTCATAAAACCACCCATGTTGGCACACAGCAACTCTTTAAAAGATTGTCTATTTAAAATATATGGTATAATTGCATTAATTTGGACATTCATGTTAAGTTTCTAAGAATAAAAGTTTGTATTTATTGAGATCTGGATTAAGTTATTATTTAATGTATTGAAGATTCCAATTTATATCCTGCACATACTCAATAGTAATTCAGTAATGTGCTCAAAGGAGTTTACTCTCATGAAAAGATACGGAGAATCTGTACAAAGAATATAGCTTTCAGAATAACATTTAAAACTTAGAGATCACCTCTTACAACTTTATCCGGAAGAATATACTGTCTTCAATAACATAGCAGAGTAAGTAAACTATTTCATACATTGAAAATTAATGTTCCATAGCCTTCCAAAGTACCAGAGTGTAATTACAAAACATTTAGGTTTATCAGTGAAATCTCAGTATGGGTTTATATCTCCCAGTCCTGTCCTCCATCCAGCTATAATGTATGAATAATAATACAATGTTGGATTATAAGAATTGCTGTTATTATGAAGGCTTTTTTAATATTTAGGAGATAATACTATGTCCTTGATGAAAAAAATCATTGATACGTTCCATAAGCTAGGCCCACTCTTCTGGACATTAAGTGAAGTGAATTTGAGAATATATCAGAAGACACATCAATATTTATCATGCAGGAGAAGTGCTAGACTAATTAAATAGAGCTCTATTATTGTAGGACAGTGATGGCGAAGCTTTTCAGCACCGAGTGCCGAAAAGGTCGTGTAGAAACGTCGCACACGCACACATGCGCTCGTCGGGGCCGCGCTCCGGAAAAGCCGAACTTCCGGCTTCTGGCGCATATGCACACCCAAAAATCAACTGGCCAGCATGCATGCGCACCCTGGTTTTCGGCACTGCTGCACATGCGAAGGACAGCTGATCATCATGTGCGCATGCACACCAGAAACCCAGAAGACAAACAGGGAAGGCCGCGCGTCCCAGGCGACATGGCTTCACGTGCCACTTTGGGCACATGTGCCATAGATTTGCCGTCAGGGTTCTAGGTTATGAGACTGCCAAAAGACTCTCAAGGATAAGATTGATAACTTTATTGCTTTCTTTAAATATGGTAGTTACTGAAAAAGCAATAAATGCCAGTAAATATTACAGTATTGCAGCCAGAATTAATTTTGAATATATTTTATTGGGATTAAGGCAAATCTTCAATCCCAAAGAATCAACTAGCACATACTGACTCATATTTAACTGCTTAATTTTTAATTCAGCAGTTTAATAAAATCCACATCCTAAATATAGTACATTGCTTTAATTACCAATTGATATTGGTATTAGGAGATACATAAACATGCATTTAGAGTAAAAAAAAAAGTTGAACCAGTCATTTGAATTTTATAATCTAATCATATAAGTACACTTTTAATCAATGATTAAATATGCCTAAATATGCCTGCAACATTGAGAAAAGTGTATGTGACAGGCCTTATCTTATTATTCTGTCAAAAATCCATTAGTTTTGTGTTGGGGGAGTAATTCACCTTCATGTGGAAGGGAATTTCAGTTCATCCAAATACAGCTGTGGATAGAAAATAAATAAATATAAATAAATAAATGGTAAGAAAAGTAACAAATATAGTTTGGTCCTAAAGCTGCTTCTAATGAAGGGAACATAACTGGGATGATTAGGGTTAGGGTTAGGGTCATGGAAAAACTTTTAAGAACTACTTTCTTAGCACAGTTTATTTCCGTTTTAAAAGCTGTAATGTCTTGACTCCAAACAGATGCTAATGGACGGCGGTTAGATAGGTAGAAAACACATTAGTTCATTATGGTAAATCATAGGGCTCAGCCCATATATCTGGAACAGAGAAGGGGATTTTAGAAAATTATTTTCTTCAATCATTAGAAAGAAAAGGTAACTTCCTCAATATATGGTAGGAAAAAAATAAAAAATGAAGGAGGTCTGGGTGGAGAAGTGACAAAATGTTATTGCTGATTTAAGTACAAAACTGTTCCATTTCAAAATGACAATTAGGACAGGAATAGATGCTGTTCTCAGTTTTAGATGAAATGCCCTCAGGTTCTGTTCTATTTATAGGCTTTTCATGAAGATAAATTATATAATATGAAGCATTTAGAAAAATAGGAAATGGTTGTTTGATTGTAATTAATGTAGCATTTTTCACTCTCCAAGAACAGTATAAAAAGGGATAATATAGAAAGTGATGCTTATCAATTCTGTTATCAGAAAAAGAAAAGCTCCTGATATTAATAGCAGCCTTCAACTAGCATAGGTGGCAGCAGATGGAAATATGAGCAGACTGAGTGCCTTCCAAAATAAGCAATTCAATTCCACTACAGTTCCACTGGTAAAGTATATTCTACGTACAACATGTTAACTAAAGTACAAAATAGGAATTAAACTACTGCTTGATTCTGAAACATTTTCCTTTCAGATAAATTTTCAATGGAAAACATCTGCTTTATTATAATGGTATATTAATATTACTACCTCACTTTCAAAAAAATGGCAACACATGAAACAGTGTCTTTACCACTGCCAAATGTAGGTTTTCTCTAATAATTTTTCTTCTGGTGCCATCATTGTCAGGTACACTGGGACTTCCATGTTTCCTTTCCCTCGTTGGTGTTTATGGGGGAATGGATAAAAAACTAAGAGATTACAGCACATTATGATCCAAACAGGAGAATAAATGTGTGGGGATTTTAGTACACAATCCATAGCACCAATGATGCCTTAACAGAACCTCCATCTATTCTCATCATAGTTCATACTGAGAGACTGTGTCATGTGACATTATTTCATTCAACATATCACAGACTATTTCCTGGAAAGTATGTATTTCACTTCTTTCTTTGATAACAAATCATCCCACCATACATAGCCATCGTGTTATTGCATTTTGGGGTAATCAATGGTAAAGCACAAAAAAGGAATATGAAATTGTAAGTGAAGGACATTGATATTAGAAAAAAAAGGAAAAATAACTCAAGCTACAATGCCATTCACCTTTCCTCTCCATGTCTTTTCACCCTTGCAAGCCACCCTTGTTTTCCTTTTATCTATGCCTTGATTCTCACACAGCCTTTAAACTTTTATCCCTTTTGAAGTCTTGCTAACTCCAACTATAACTCTGTCATCTTCCCCATCCTCTCCACCCATTCATTCTTTTGGCATACGTTTGTTCAATCTTCATTCATTCTCTAAGTGACAGTTGGTCACTCATCTTCATATTCAACCTCATTTTAATTATCACCATTCATTCTTGATCACATATACTTGTGTTTTATTGTACACTTTCTTAAGCAATTTATACCTACTATATTCTACTTAGTTCTCTGTGTCTTCAGACATGCCCTACTTATTAATCACAGGGCTCTTGGTGGCTCACAAAGTAAACAATAATAATATAAAGCAATATAAAAGCAAAAGGCAATTAAACCCCAGACACAACATCTGGCATCAGATCCAGGAAAGTTCTGTCTTCAGCTATTTCCAGGGGGCAGACAATGTTGGAGACTGCCACTAACAAATGGAGAGAAGCAAATACTTATATAACAACTATTTTCACCTCTTTCAATTAACACCCATTCCTCACAACAGACCACATACTATCCACTTCCTTAGTATCAACATTTGCATCTCTTTCATATTTCTTCGTGAATTTTACCAAACATTCTACATGGTATAAAGATTCTTGTGCTTCTTCATCATTTATGTAGGCAATTGTTCATTCCATTATCTCTGTCAGCCACAACTATATTGGCTTTTAATATCTTAATTTTCACATTTCTGCTCCTCATCCACATTTGGATTTGCCATTCCAGTAAGAAAGAATTATCTGCATATAAAATATGCATTCATATCCCAACTACCACATTTTTAATCTTCAAAAATGTCCTTATTTGTTTATTCATATCTATTTTAAATCTCTCAAATATGTTCTAGTAGATTAGAAATGCTACATATGCAGTTATGTTATCTAACATAATGTGAAAGGCACTGAGGGAAAGTTCTAATGAGGAGTTAACATATATTGGAATATTGGTAATGAGCCTAAAATGCCTACCTCTGTAATTCTCATTTGTTACTTTCTTTCAAGTTACACTTTAATTGCATGCCTATAGAAAGCATAAATTATAATTTGCCTTTACTGACCTGAATTAATTATTGATCATAGATCCAGAAATAAACAATCAGCTTATTGTCAATAATTCATAATAGCAATTAACTTTAAAAGAATAATAGGTCTATACAAAATCATAGTGAATTTAAAGTTATACATCATCTAGAAATGTTTTTTTCTTTGAGAAATGGAATATAAATATTAAATACATTAATAAAGTGTTTATAACATTCTTGTTTGAACCAGTATGTCTATACATACTAAAAGAACAAGGAAAAATCTAGGTTGTCAACCTCGTCCAGCTTGTCTCTGGAATGCCTTGGATGAGGGACATAAGAGGTGGACCTAGATTCTACAAAATAGCTATTGCGAGGACAGCACTCTCTTCTTAATTGCCTGGTGAAGTTAACCCCAGAAATACAAATAACTTTTGTCAATACAACCTTTTCACTGTCTATCTAGCCCAGATATTTCCAATATGTTGGAAGCACACTGTTGTGCTTCTTCCACAAAAGAAGACAGCATATTTCTTTATATTTCCACTTGTACAGAAGCTTTTTATTATTGACAAGCTCCTTGGGGCTCCTTGGGAACTCAGTCATAGCACCCACATTTCCCACAAAGTAGTTTTTACCACTGCACTTCCCCAATGCCAAAGTTGCCCCCCTTGCAAGAGGCCTCCCTCAGGATGTCTGTCCTTGGCCTCTGGTGACCCAGGCGTCTTTCTTGCTCCTCTCCCAGACTCTCTGAGATTTCCTCCCTAGATCCATCCTTCTTTCCTTCCTGTGGCTCCCCACCCTTCCCCCGAGGCCTGATTCTCACCGTCCTCGTAGTTCTTGAGGTAGTAATCCGGTCCCGGTCCACCACGGCTCTTGGCTGGGTTCTTCACGTTCTGGAACTGCAAAAAGTCGGTCCTTTTGCCCGCGAAGCGGAGAAAGGCGGGCGCCAGGCCACGCGCCAAGGTCACCAAGCGCCGGGAGCTGCACAGAAAAGGGCTGAATGAGCGAGGACGAAAAGGAGGGAGCGAGGCGAGCACGACTACGACGGGCTGGGCGCGGCGCCATCGCGGCTCCGGTGCCCGTCAAGAAACGGCTCGCCAAGCCGGAAGCTATCAGCGCAGCTTCGGGAGAGGCCCCCAAAGCCGAGTACACTGGCTTGAATTCCTGCACCAGCTGCTGGGGGAAAGCGCCCGAGAGCCAAGTATCCCTTCTCCAAAGATTGCCACAGGGACGGCGGCCGTTCTGCGCCACATGCGGGCACCAGGAGAAGCACAAGGGACGGCGGCGCTTCGCCCATGAAGGGCACTTGCGCTTTCCCGACGGAGCTGGCGTTGCCCTGGGTGCAACCTCCTCGGACTCCGCGGAGGTCCCTTTCTCTACCTACACACACACACACACACGCACACACACCCTCCCCACGTGCTTGGGACAACAGGCGGCGCAGCGATTGGCTGTCGGCGGGGAAGCCCGTGTTGTCCTGACCAGCGAAGCAGAAGGACCCGCGTTTCTTTCGCCGCCGGAGGTGGGCAGTTTTTTCCAGCGTTCCTTCGCCATGGCCACTTGTGGCATCGCCCGAGGCTCCTCTCCCGTTTTCTCTTCCCGGATCCAAATCGCCAGAGGAGACGGGAAGGCTGGCTGGGGCCTGGGTACTGCCCTGGGGGCGCCTCGCAGGAGGCAATTTGAGACCCCCTGCAGACCTCTCAGGATGACATCCGCCCGAGCAAACCTCCGGAGGGGGGCGGGGGAAAAGACAAGCAGCCAGAATTTTTCAGAACAGCGATACGTCTCCGAGATGCTTTCTCCATTACAAACATGTGCATCTTAATAGGAACCATGGCCCGGCCTCTTCGCCGCGGCTCTGCGGGCCGTGGGAGCCCGGAGGGCGCATCGGTCTCTAACCGCAGTGGGAGCCACGAGGGCTGGAAGAGCTAAAGAAAAGGCGGCTTGTGGAGAGAAAGCCCCTTACCTGAGGAAGTCCAGCCAGCCGTCGTGGAGGATTGAAGGATCCAGTTGCAGCGAGAGGAAGTTCTCGCTGGTGACACGGAGGGAGCTCCTGGTACTCACGTCCAGGAGGATGAGCGTCCTGCCCGGGGTGCCCTGCGGGCTTGTCCTGGCGGGAAGGCGCTTCACCCCGGCCTGAGAGGGGAGAGAGAGGTGAGCCAACAGCGCCAGTCCAGGGGCCAAAAAGGCCAAGAAGCCAGAAGGGCCAGAGCCGGGGCAGGGCATGCTGGGCCGAGGGGGGCTCCCCAATTAAGTCCCGCGCCGGGCACAGCCAGTCACGGGCAGCTAATTGTCCGGAGTGCAAAGCGTGGGGGCGCGCTGCCTTTTTTCCCTCCCCCTCCTCCCCCCCAATGTTTTGGTGCTGGGGGAAGAGGGGAGCTCACGCCCCTGACCAGCCTTCCCCGGGGCCGGTGCCAAGACGCCTTGTTCGCCAGCGCCGCCCCTAGAAGAGTCGCCGCCTGCGGACATTTTCGCGTTTCCAAAGGTAAAGGAGAATCGTTCCTAGTTTAACAACTCTCGGCCCGGGATCCCCAAGGGCCCAGGCTGTTTCCCTAAAGGATGACGGCTGCAGGCAGCGAATGTTTTTTTGCCAAAGGCCTTCCCCCTCTTTGATTGCTTGAAAGAAATCTATGCAGAAAGTGCAAACAATCCTTTTGCTAAGGGTAGTTTTGCCACCGGAGCCTCACCTGGGTGGGTCAAGCAGAGCCCCGAAATAGATTGCATTGTTCAGTCGCAATAGCTCACTCGCAGAGACAGTGCTGGCAGTTCTGCAGAGATCTGGAGCCCGTGTAGAGAGGAAGGCGGGGAGGGGTAGGTCGCGGGGGTGGGGGCGAAAGAAAAGCATTAACTTGGTCTTTACTTGTTTCCTGATTCTTCTGCGTTCTTACCGAGAAGTCAGAAAACCAAAAGTGCTGGTGGAAGAATGCAGGGGTAACTAGCAGCAGTTTAAACAGCCACGCTGCCCTAAAGCCGAGAGAGAAGCCCAGAGCCGGAGGCCGCCGAGAAAGAAGCGCTGGGGATTCAAGAGGAGCGCTGCCCTGAAAAGTAGAGCTCTCTTTGCGAGGACGAAAACCGAAACGAGATGGAGTGGTGAGTAAAGCCGTCTTCTAGGCCAGTAATTTTTCCCATATTGGAAAAGCAGCCTTTCCCTAACAACCGAGAAAAGTTCTGCGAAAATGCCCATCAATGTACCCCCTTACCTCTGCTTTCGGCGCAGTCGCCTTCTGCCTTTTCTTGGGAACCTTTCTCTTCGGCTGCAAAGGCAGCGCTGAGGTATTTTTCCAGCCGGAGGTGTCGGGAACTGAGCTGCCATACCGGGCAGACTGGGGATAAGCGAGGCGGTCAAAAGAATTGGTCCAGTTTTGTCTCGTATACAACTGAAAGAGGCGCCTTAACGCAAATAATCGCCACTCCCCCCTTCCTTGGGAGAGATTCACTATGGGGCTTGGGATAACTCCAATTCAAAACAAGCCCCCAACGGCGCTCTTAGTGGATGTTGGTATTCCTTTTGACGTGCTGATCTGACTTTTCTGAGTATAAAATCCATATGGAACAAAGGAAAATTGCTTCGGAGTAAATCTGCGCGACCGTAATCTCCGATGGAGTACTGAACACGAAATCAACTCCAGAGAAAAGCAGACCCCTCCTTTTCCAAAAAGAAATATTTTCGTTGGAATTAGGTTGCTAAACAGTTGCAAGAGCTGGTCTCTCCGAGCCTTGTTCATATGCAGCCTGCTGGTGCCGCGGCTGAAACAGCTAGGCAGCCCCCGCAGAGTGGCGAGCAGCATTTTTTTTAACCTCTGCGCCGAGACAGCCGGTACTTCAGATCGTCCTTGTCCATTCATCTCCTGTCCACAGCGTTTATGGCCTAAAAAGAGGAACTTCAATCCACCTTCCTTTGTCAGTATAAACCGATTATTCAACACACACGCGTGCGCGCCCGCTCACACATACACAAAAGAAACGTGCCTCAAAACGTTAGGGACTGTAGATGAACGATCAGAATTCTGCAGCTTTTCCAATATCGGATATTGTCTTCAGAAAGTGGTTTTCTGCCGGGGCTGTGTGGGTCCCAGTCATGTCTACCATAAAGTAAAAACGACTGGGTTTAGTCGACTTCAACTCTAATTTATGGCTCAAGAGACTAGGATTAACTTCACTTCCTCTCACTGGATACTGTACTATAGGAAGCGCCTCAGTGAAATGTGAGAGGTGAATCGGTTGCACTTCATGGATATTAAGTCTAAAAACATTCCTACTCACGAGTAAGTTTCAGGTACCAGGATTTTCTTGAAAGGGTATTTTGTGCACAAGACAATCGCTGATTATTTAAATCTTTGCGGACATCAGATCACCCTCCTGTCCTGTGTATTTTTAATTTAAAAAAATAAATCCTACCAACCCTATTACTCCTGAATAAATAAGTACTATATAACAAGAATGCAGCCACGGTAATAATTATTTGATCGGCAAGCCTTCATCGATTTGCAGTAGGATTTATCCCATCGCAAACTACAAACAAAACGATTACTTAACAGAGAACTTTTCACGGGTTTTGACCGGAGGAAGACCCTCCTTATTCTATGCTCCTAATATTTCCAAATGATGAAATATGCGCTTTTGCAATACATTGTCCTGTTATAGCCATTTATAAACAAATACCTTGCTGTTAAGGTTCACTAGAATGGAGGTGCTGCCATGGTGTTAAAAAAATTCGGCCAGGAAAGGTGCTGTATCTGATCTCTGCTTAGAATCAGGGAGAAGCAGCAAGAGCGGAGGAGGAATAGGTTACAGTACTGCTAAACTTACCCGGCCCAGAGAAATATATGAAGTCTCTTGCCTCGCCTTGTCTCCTCCTCAGAAGATGGCTGCCTAATTGAACTGAGCCCTGAGTTTGGAAGATCACACTGAAAGATGGGGATAATATTGCTCTTCCTTTATGAATGTAAATCGCTCTCCGTTCTGAAGGTTGCCCAACGGAGTCCTTGAGCCCAGTAGCCTCTTTTCTTCTACCCTCTCCCCCTCCCCTTTCTTTTGACAGTATCCAGATCCAGTGCTAGGAAACTTTAAGACTCTGAGTTGGGTGTGTAACTGCTAGATTCTTCACTGCTACGTGGTGGAACATTTATTAAAGCAAATGACCGTCTTTCTTCAGATTATTGGTCATTCTTTTTCCAGTACATTTTCCAATTATATTAAAAGGCATCAAGTTTCCAAAATTTCCAATATTGCTTGCTATGAAGTGTGGTTTACCTAATTATTTAAATATAATTAAACTCTGGTTTTATGCATCTTTCAGTTCTGCAAATTAAAATATCCTAAAATAAACTTGGGAAAGCTGATAGGAAGCATCTATTCTATTTTCTTTGAACTGGATATCTTTCAAGTACAAGATAAGCTACAGTAAGATTGGTGAAAAGGCATAGTAAGCAACTCTTTTCAATTTATTTTAAAGCATTGGTGGTTTTATGAAATAATTTCTCTTTTTTGATACATAGAGAATTTAAGTATGTTAAAATCCTTGTCATCACCAGGGATTTCTGATAGTCTTATATTTCTCTCCAAATTAATATTTTAAATATCCATCTGAAAAATCTGGATGGTTCTTCACTGTGTCATTGATATCTGAAAAGCTATGAGGGTGATACTGTTCTTTAAAAAAACCCTACTATTAATAATATATTAAATGTATATGCCACCTGCACATACCCCAATGATCTTATGCTTATTATCAGATTAAATTTGCTCATCTTTAAAGTATCACAAGGCCTCTGTCATTTTCACCTCCTCCAAAGGTCCAAAGTTACTTCTATTGTTTTGATAGCTGCTGGAATCCATTGAACAACATTTCTAAATATCCCTTTGAAATGTCTAGCAAGAGCTGGATTGGAAGCAGCAATTATTGCAACCAACTCAGAAATGCCACTCTCTGTAGGACTTCTCTCTGCAACCTGAGGAAGAGCTTGTTTTCTTTCCATTATAATAAAAGATGAAATGTGTGTTGCTGACCATTTATCTCTAGTTCCAGTATAATTCTACCAGCTAGAACACTGCAATCCCAACCTGTTTACTACAGGGAAGTTCCACTGAAAATATCCTTTTGGAGTAGGTTAAAACATTTTCTACCCTTATGTGCTTAAATGGTGCACATGCTCTAATCATAGCATTGCCTATGGAAATAAATTCCCCTAGTAGTTATTTACTAGCATTTGGACCCTTTCTCCAAGTGAATTACAGTTGCATGTATCAATTCTGTCTTTCAGTTGCTGTTTTCTAGCTTGCCTGCCTTTAGAGGAAGGACATCCATCCTCCCTCAATTTTATACAGGTCTCAGAAGTGAGAGGCATTTTTTTAACTGTTGAAGAATGCTGAAAAGAATACTACTCCCCACTGCATTTTTGGGCTTTGTCATTTTTAATTTGGTTTAATGAGGAGGTGACCTAATGAGCTGGTTTAAGTACCCAGAAAACCCATCTTATCCATGTTTCGTAATACATCCATTAGGTGTGTATAAGAAAAAAATTAGAATCACATATAATGTTCTTCTGTTTCACACTCTTGGATATCTTTCTGGAAACAGTTTGCTCAACTTGGACTGATTCAATGCTCCAGAATGTAAAATTTATCAATTATTATATTGTTTCAATATCTGGCCATGCATGTTCCAAGGCCAAAATTTCTAGATAAATGCAAAAGCTGCAAACTTAGCTTTAATTCCCCTAATAATGTAATTTTTAATGCATTTGCCTGGTGATATTTATCAATAGTATACTCTGTTCACTATACTACAGTGCAGAAATAGTATACAATTAATGGAAAATGCTAAGTTCACCCTACAAATGAGTATGTTCTAATTCAATTCTGCATCTCTACCCAGCCTGGTGTTTCCATTCATTTTGATCCTGGAAACCTAAGCAAGGTCTGTCTTGCTGGTTCTTGGATGGGAGACCACCATAAAATTCAAGAACTGTGGACCAGCCAGAAAAAAACATCCCTCAAGGTGGTAATGATAATTCTTTTTTAGTGAAGAAAACTACAGAGACTTATTCAGGGGGTCAATAGGGTATGAGCTCCACTCAAGAATATCTTTACCTTTTTTAATATATCTGTGTATGCAGTAGATATAGATTATCGGTGGTGAAATCCAATTTTTTTTCTACCGGTTCTGTGGGCGTGGCTTGGTGGCGTGGCTTGGTGGCATGGCAGAGGAAGGATATTGCAAAATCCCCATTCCCACCCCACTCTTGGGCTATCCAGAGGTGGTATTTGCCGGTTCTCCGAACTACTCAACATTTCTGCTACCGATTCTCCAGAACCTGTCAGAACCTGCTGGATTTCACCCCTGAAGTTTATAGGTGAAAAGCATGAACTATCAGTGGTTAGACTGCATTTTTCTTGTGTTTGGGATCTATATTGAGATGTCCTGGGCGTTAATAGGGATGGGAGAAGAAGTAAAAAAGGGAGGCAGAGAAACGACAGCTTCTCTCAAAGTTTCGTCGCCGCTGAACCTGCCTGGAGAAAGCAAAGAAAAAAAATCTGATTTTATCAACTGTAGTATTCGGCAGAGGGCGCGCTACACAGAGCTTCTGAGGCTTTGATTTGCCTTCCAGTAACTACACTATCTGACATTGCTGTAGGAGCGGCTGTTCCCTGAGTGCCTCCTGGCGGCCGAAATTCAGGCCAGTGCCTGAGAACTAAGGAGGAGATTCTTAAAATGCAGGCGGCTATTAGATAGCGAGAAGGAGCAGGGTGTGGGGGGGTATTAAAGAACCTACATCACCTTCATAGACCCTTCCTCGCATCTTGGAACGCTGTGAAGCTGCAAAGAGAAGGCAATCTGAGTAGACTTTGCTCCCTGTCTCTGCCAGTCAAATGAGTGGACGGTAGGTAGCTAAAAAAGCTCTCCGCTGTCTCCGGCCGTATGAACTGAAATTCCATGTCTGCATTAATTGAATGAGAATGAACACAGATATATCTAATTGTGCACCCTCTCACTCTTGCCTGCCTGCCCTTGTAGTTACATTACCCGTGGCGTTCCCAAGAAACACGATTATTGTGCTCCCTGGTTTACAGTTTCGTTCAGAATCCCTTTGCCAAAGAAATATCTGATTCTGTACCATAAATGAATGGATTTTTGAACTGTGAAAGGTTTCTGAATGTGCAGTGCCACGCTTCCGCTACTCCAGGCAAGCTGCTGTTGCCAAGGAGGGTGGAATCTCTGGGTCGATTTGGGCTCTCTGATTTAAAATGTGGTCCATACATAAACTCTGGGAGATGTCTACCACTCAGGCTCCAGCGCGCATTAATGCCCACCAAAGATGCTTTCCCGAGAACCTGCCTAGGACCTCTTCCTTTTGTTCACGTCTGTAGACAGACGTTTTCTCCACCTCGCTGTAGATTGGCAACTTGACACGTATATTTGCCTTCTTTCTTGACAGGCTTCTCATTCTTCTGATCTATAAAATCTAGACTGAGCGATGCCAAGTATATCAATTATCTGTCCAGGGAGGGAAAAAGGTTCCTTTTACAACGCTCATGAAACTTCTTCCAGGGGACAGAATAAGAAATGTATGAGTGTTAAAATAAACGGAGCAATATAATAAACCGTAGCCAGGAGCCAGAGACCTACACCTGGCACCTGTAGTATCTTTAAGGGCGATCTTGATTTCTCTTCGGATCCTTGAGCGTAACCTGTGCGACTGCGCCTGGCTTTAGGGCTCCTTCCGGCTGACAATCCGACCCAGCGGAAAGCGCAAGAGATTTAAGGAAAGGGATCCCAGGCGCTCACTCCTTCTCTGGCGAGGAACGCTTCCCCCTCCCCCCCCGATCCCCGCTTCCCACCTGCTCATTCGGTGCTTTACAGCAGGTTCTACGGCAAAAGTAAGCAGATGATAAAAACACACTATTCTGTAGCCAGCCCTGCCATTACTTTATAGAGAAATCTTGTGACCATCTTCAACTTTGCCAGGTGAACCACAGCGCGGTCATGACTGCAGTAGTGGTTTGCAAATAGGGGTTCATTCTTCCCGCGAGAACACTCTTCGCGCCATTTTGTTGGAACACGACACGTGTATGTCGTGTCGACACGCGTATGTCGATATAAACTTACTAGCCTAGGTATGTGACGGTCAGCAATCTTCTCCTCTCGCCCTGGGCTATGTAAAATTAAAACTCAAGGCTTGTAATCTGGACTGAATCTGGGAGCTCGTTTGCCGCTACTCCCCCCTCATCCTCTGCCCCTCGAGGTGGTCATTCCGGGCGGGGTAGAGGCAGGTCCCTGATCGCCTGTGCTAATAACCTCATGCGGGTAGAGAACAGGCTTTATAGCAGCGACAGCGTCACGTATACAAGATTCAAGAGATATGACCTTGGAGCCACGTAGGCGCCCCTGGAAACGGCGAGGAGGCCTCGGCAAAAGTGAACCTGTGCGTTTCCCATCCAGCCCATTTGGCTGCCCGAATAAACTGGCCGAGAGAGAGAGAGAGAGAGAGAGAGAGAGAGAGAACAAAGGAAGCTTTTCCTTGATTTCAATTTAAAAAGAGCTCCGCAGGCAGTGGCCAGGAAGATTTTCTGACCTCGACCTATGAATCAGGCAGGCCTGTATAAATATGTAGAAAAACAACCGGTTTTGAACGAATATCTATCACCGCAGCCTCCCCACCTCCCCACCCCCAAGCTTCAGGACCAGTTTCTCAAAGGAATGATATTTTAGTTTGTTTGCTTGGTTGGTTTGGATGTCCCCCTGCTTTAAAGCTTTGGACTGGTTTAATTTATGCAGATTACATTTGTACATGCTTGGGCTTGAAAATCCTATGGTCTGGTCTAGTGGATGTAAATACATCAAGTAGCAGTTGGTATTTTTTTAACTAGGATTAAGATCAAACAGAGATGGTGTGTCTTTCTTAGAAAGTAAAATCAAGCAGAAGGTGAGTGTTTATTCCTGTCTTCACTGCCATGCAGAAATTAGTCCTTGAGAGCAAAGAATCCCTGGACAACTATTTCTGAACTTGGTGCCTTCCAATTGTCTGTCTAAAACAGAGGTCAGCAACCCACAGCTCTGGAGCCGCATGTGGCTCTTTCATCCCTCTGCTGCGGCTCCCTGTCACCGGTCAGCTCCACAATTGATAGGGCTTTCGGTTAGGATAG